GGAATTTACAGGGCAGGATTCCAACGCCACTGAGAAGCGGATTCACATAACCTCTCTCAGCCCAGTCCTTCTCGATGCTATCTCTTGACCAGAGCTGTCAGCTGCGGAAAGGATTTCATCTGTTCCTGTGGAAAAAACAACCTAACCTGTCGACCTGCTGCTAGATCCCCTGCTGGCCAGGTCCTTGATTTTGAATGTTACCCTTCAAAGGTTGCTTATGCTCCTGTTAGCAACAAAAGCAAATAGCTATAACTTCCCTAGCCCTTGAGCCTCATTTTCCTTACGAAAGATTTTAATCAGAAATACCATGCAGTAAATTACATCTTCTTTCAGCAATTTAGTTTTCAGCCTTGTTTTTCAAACCAACTTTTGTGCTTGAGGTTAATGTTTTTTGCCTGAGGTGTTGAATGAATATTGGAAATTTGACACCAAAGACAAAAGACAACAAAGAAGGGAAGAGGAAAATGGACAAGAATTTATTGAAGGCTAGGGATAATTTGACTATGCCACGAAAATAGCAAATACAGAATGAATTAGACCTTTTGCATCAGAACTGTCTAACAAGCAGCTTGTTAGTTAAATAAGGCTCTCGGTAAAGTGTACCGACTTGCGTTTCCCAAGATGCCCTGTTCTTCAGACCAAGCTCCAAACACCTAGAGGATTCAGCATTTAGTTAAAGGGAGAAGCAGTTGCTCTGAGGTTGCTTCTTTAGCATAGTGACAGCAGGTAGACAGCTTGGCCTGTATTATCCAGAGAAGAAGAAAAGAGACGCTTGTGAGGGGTGATCTGCCCCATACATGTTCTTAAAGTCACATTGGACACGTTCATCCAAGTTCAAGTTATCTTGCTCTAACCCACAATAGCAGGGAGAAGTCCTTGTTTGTAGAAGTTCAAGGAAGCAAAATATCCCATCCAAGTCTGTGGATCAAAGGAGGGCCCCGGACAAAGACGGAAAGCATGCAGTACCCGCCATTGAGAGTACACAAACACACACACACAACCGACACCAAAGACAGTCACACTGGGCACATACGTGCTGTACACATGTGCAGGGCCAGCTTCATGATAGTCCAGACAGTAGCGTCTGTAATCTAGTTTGAAAGGTTCAGAAGAGTTCTGTATATTACTTAATGGAAAAAGTTTCAGGAAAAGACAGGTCCTTAAAGGTTTAGGACTCACGTTGAACTTTTCCGTGTGGCAAAAGTTTAAAGAGTTCAAGATGTTTCCTCAGGACAGTCCAAGGGCAGGCCAAGTATGACTGCCTCACTTAAAGGGTGATTTGAAGAAGCTGGACAGAAAACAGGGAGGCACCGCAACTGGGCATGACAAAAAAACACAGAAAGTAGGATTGCGGGGTTACTGAAGACAGACCCCGGCCATGGATGTCTCACTACTTCGGCAAGGATCTAACCTAGGAAAAAGGTGAATTATGCAGGCCACCTTGGATATTGGAAACATAAACAAACAGATTATATACATGGGGGAGAAAGTATATTTTAGTGGTTGCGTAAATCAGGGAAAAAAAAAAGCAGATACGAGGCTACCCCCCACAATTATGAAGAAAATTGAGTTTAGAAGCTGGAGCGCACAAAGTGGCAGTTGTGCTGTATGGAGTGGCACAATACACCATATCTGCCAAGACTATATCTGAAGGTTCCCTAGGGGCCATCTGGAGCTCGAGTAGCCTGGGGAAGGGAGCAGACTTGAGAGCATTCTTTTTGAAATGGAGAGTTTGCCTGAGATTTTTTTCCTAGGTTTCTGCATGCAGTGCCAATCCAAATTACTGCCAATTAAAAAAGAATAATACTGTCCGGAAATTTAGACAACTTATACTGACGCAGGATGACTGATGTTGGTCAAAGATTATAGTAAGTACTAGTAACCCAGGAATGAAAGGAGCTAAGAGTTATTCTTGTGAAAAATGGATGACATGGAGTGTGTAAATAATGGAAGCAAATGCAGCAAGGTACAGGGAATCTTAGAACATTTAAAGTCTAATACGTTACAAAGAGAGTTCAATGCTGATAAATGTAAAATAATAAGTTTTATGGGGCTTTATCATATGCTGTAAGTTGGTGTGGATCATAAAATATGAGGAATGAAAAAAGTAGGGGAGTTGAAAGACAAGTCTGAGCATTATTTATGAATGATGAGTGAAATGAATGAGAACAGGTAGACAATGTCTTGAATAATGATGACTTTGATGAGTTGTTATCACACAAATCTGTGTGCTTCATAGAATATCAGGAATATTAAAGAGCAGAGGAGTCAAAAGACAAGTCTACTCAGAATGAGATGAAGGAAGAGAAGAATACAAGAGAAGTGCACAGAATAATGATGACTTTTATGAGACTTTCACTCACCAGCCTGGATCCTTCATAAATATAAGCTGTATAGAAAATAAAAGAGCAGCAAAGAGAAGAGACAGGTCTGTGTCTGTCATAAAATATGAGCAAATAATGTCAACTAGGCTTGACAAAATAAAAACAAAAATAATTGAGCCTAGTACAGCTGTGGGAAGACACAATGTCTAGATTAATGTGAACAAATAAAATAAGCGCGTGTAGAATTGTCTTGCCAACAGGGAATCAGCGACCACCTAAGTAGGCATCATTGTTGAAAAGCCCACCTTGTTAACTGGTAAAGCCTTGGCAAGTTCATAATTACCCCCTACCACACCCCACCAAAAGCCATCAGCACATAGGGCTCAGGAAGCAATGTTGAACTGATCTTCAAATGAAGGTGGCCTCACTAATGCACGTCTCTTCTCAGCCCCTCTGGCTCCGATCCCTATGTAGTTTGCAGGAGATTTTCTCAGCTGGTTTCTACTTAATCTGTACCCAGTTTGTCAAATTTTGCTTTGTAAAGACCTTCAAAATGTCACTGTATAAAACTAGAGACATCCTTCTCTTTTCATGTCTTGTTACATTGGATTTAGAACCAGGGACCAGATCTGTCAGGATTAGTTCAAAATCCAGAACTTGGTGACTTTCAAATATCTTCTCTATTAGAACAAATGGGATTTCAAAATCTCCCCAAAAAGGAACTGGAAGAATCAGACAAGGCAAAGCAAGTGCCACTGTGCCATTTGCATGCCATTCAGAACCATTATTTACAGAATTCATAAGATGGACAGCTCATTGGAAAGAAGAAACCCACTAATTTATGTCAGAACTAGGAATGTCGGTCTGAAGAGCTCAATAAAGACACTAATAGCAACAATTATACTAGCTTAGCTTTGTGCAATACTTAATGGCTTATAGTTTGTGTTGGGGGAAGGCTTTAGGTGATGCAGGATAAATCCTGTCAGTGTAACATATCCCAGTTCTTCTGATTGCAATAGAATTTAGTAGTGATGTTTATTGGCTATAACATATAACACAAGCTTTGGCTGGTAACTGTCTTTTGCTTTTTCACAGTTTTTTTTTTCTCTTGAACGATCTTTGTGGCCAAGAGCCTTTAGACACATTGCCTTGACTTGCTGATTGAAAGAATGTATAATGCCACGGTGGAATTATTATGGTTACTTTGGAAAATCATGTTTGCCCAAATCACATGGCCCCTTTTAATCCAAGATTGAGCTTGCCTGGATACCCTGACCTCACTTGGTGAAAAAAATGACATTAATGCCCTAGGAAAAATCACTGACCCTGCCCAACCTCTTCAACCCTACCAGCTCCAGCTATAAAATGCATGTTCTAGAGCTCAGGGCTGCCAAGGCTAGGACTGGACTCTGGTGAGACCCACATCCCCCCAACCCCAATAACAACAGACAAGTGAAAAATCTGTGCTTGGGGGTTGCCCCTGGGCCTTCTTAACTGCCAAGCTCCTAAACTTTGTTACAACTTGCTGGCCAAGCTAGAGCTGAAAGTATACTCGTTTTAGTGGACTATGTCCCTGGGAGACAGCTCTGTTAAGGGCTAGTCTAATGGAATCCCCTTATTTGGCAAAGATGAAACTCATTTGTTTAAAGGGAAAATCTCCTGAAATATTTTATTTCAATCAGGCCAGAGAAACATGGTACTATATAGTCAGGGACCATGTCTCTTTTGCAGACTTTAACTGTTAAAATTTGCCCAACTAAGTCTGCTTTTTTTTAAAAATTATTTTTCCAGAAAAAGCAATTTGGCAATATGTATTAAGAGTCTTACAAGTGTTCATACCTATGTATGTAAATGCATAGAAAATGCCCTCAACAAAATGATATTGCTGATTACCTCTGGGGAGAAGACCAGGAACTGGGAGGGAGGTGGTCAGCAGGGACTTTAGTCATGTCTATAGTGTATTTATGTATTAACTAATTTCCATTTTAATTAATTTTAATAAGAGAAAAGTATCTTTCCACGACTAGGACTATCTCCCAAGGAAATAATAAGAAATTCAATGCAGAAAAAAATAAGAAACAACTAAATATCCTAAAATAGGGAATGGATTAAACAAGGAATACTGTTTTAGGGCTATATTATCTAATATCAAAATGATATATTAAGGAATTTCTAATTACATTGGACAATGTTAATAATATACTGCCAACTTAAAAATATCGGGATTCATGGGCTTCCCTGGTGGCGCAGTGGTTGAGAGTCCGTCTGCCGATGCAGGGGACACGGGTTCGTGCCCCGGTCCGGGAAGATCCCACATGCCGCGGAGTGGCTGGGCCCGTGAGCTATGGCCGCTGAGCCCGCGCGGCCGGAGCCTGTGCTCCGCAACGGGAGAGGCCACAGCAGTGAGAGGCCCGCGTACCGCAAAAAAAAGAAAAAAAAGAAAAAGAAAAAGAAAAAAATATCAGGATTCAGAACTATACCGAGTATAATCCCAATTTTTATTGGTAAAAAAAGATATTCATACTGTCACCAAAATGTTATTAGAAGTTACTACTCGTTGGTGAAATTATTGTTTTCTTTGTTATACTGAACTGTGTTTTCCCAACTTTCTCCAACTTGGCTTCTAGAATCTAGTTTCAGCATGCTTTTATATTTGCCTTTGATCTTGTGTTGCAGGCGTGCTTGTGTGATTCGAGGCCAAGTGATGGCTGTAGATGGAACCCCTCTAGTAGGGGTGAATGTTAGTTTCTTGCACCACAGTGATTATGGGTTTACCATCAGCCGGCAAGATGGAAGGTACGTCAGTATTGCTTCTGATCATTGTGTGGGCCAAATACCGACTTCTAGCCATGAGTCAAACCAGGGCTCAAGTGATACAGTGTTTATAAGCCCATCTTCCTTCAAGCTGTATCTAAAAAAGTCATTGGTGTTATTTATTTCCTCTATTCCCCATCTAAATCAAACCAAGTTTAGCTTCTAACCAACCCTGTACTGTTACTGTCAAGTCTTCCTGAAACCCTGGCCATGTGGAAAGTCGTCTAGCCTTCATCTAAGCCTTCATCATTTATAAATCCAGATTCAAAATCCAGTGAGATGATGCAGGTAATGAAGCATTGAGCACCTAGGCTGTTCTTTCCGTGATAGCCTCAAAATATTTCAGAGATAAAGTTGTCCAAAGGTTTCTTCCAAAGGTATACAATTCAACCACATTAAGACATTAAAAGAAAAAAAAAATGTGTCCTCCCTAGACTGCGTACTTTACTAGTGGCTCTAACAGGTCGAAAAGCATGGCCAGCTTAACCAATTTCCCTTGGTGTCTATATAACCGTAGTGATTTAACCTTAAGCGCCAACCACCAAGCTGTTCTCTAAGGGCTTCCCCAGGTTCTCAGAGACCTGGAAAGCAAGACCACTAGTTAAATCTTTTCCTCCTGGAAAAGGATTTGCTCACAAAAACATTTTTGTTGCCATCCTTCAGGTAGACATTCGTTTAGAATATTTGAGTCAATAGGCCCATGTGTCCAGCTTAAAGGTACCTATTTATGATTCTCAGGAACATTGTAATGATGGCTTTGAGGTACCCTAGTCTCCAGGTGGCTACCCTTGAAATGTCCTACTGATTACAAGCCGCTTCAGTACTCATATAAAGAGACCTATTGCCTTGAAGCTTTATCACAGTGTGAGAGACTATGTCATTTCAAGAACCTAAAATCAGACGTTATTATTAGTCCTAGCCACTTCAGAATTGTTAATTGTTCAACTGGGGCTATGCTGAATTTATTTTTTCAACTGCCTCTCAAGAAAAGGCTTGCAAAAAATAGTTAAAGAAGATAATAAGGAAGAGTTTAAACCTACTTAAGAAAAACTTTTTAAGATTTTAGGAAATTATATGAATTATTTGTATGTAAATTATATTGCTAATTAGTAATGAGCCGTCTATTCATTATAACAAGCTCAGCAGAACACTCTGGGAGGCATCTAGTCTGAATATATATATATATATATATATATATATATATATATATATGCAATAAAAACTATTTCCTTTCAAATATTCTATAATCAGAGCTCTCTACTAATTCAAATGGACTTTTTTCTCAATTAGATTGAATGATGGAATTTTGGTAGTTCATGCACCAGTAGCTGGTACAGAAAACTGGCCTCTCCCTTGCCAGCAGGTTCAACCATGTGCCAGAAATTGAGAAATGGATTATTTCTTTAAATAGAACATGCCCACAGGGACATTTGGCTTCTCACGGAGAAATGATGTGCCTTAGGTTTTTTAGCTTGTGTACAAAGGTTTCAGTGAATTATTCGATATTCACAAAAGAACCTAAAAGAAATGTGATGTCTAAAAAGTCTATAAACTTTCTGTTTCCAGTTTACAGAAAGCATTAAAGAAGGACAATTTTTATTGTTATTTTTGTGTTTTTAATCTTAAGTAAAATACCAGGACCCTCCCACTGAGCTCACTGTGAGAACTAGGTTTATATAGATGACAGATACTAGCCAGAGTCCCCTCAGGCAGTAACTCTTCCCTCAGGCTCCACAGAGGATGTAGGCATTCAAAATATATGCCCCAAATACCAACCAGACAGTCCCACTATCATCTCTTAGACATAAAGTGACAGTGTGATGAGAGTTTCCATTTATATGTCTCTGCTGGTTGCTACCTCAGATTGAGTTAAGTACATTTCAGAAGTAGAATATCATAGAGAAACTACAGATCTTCCTCAGTTTATGATGAGATTACATCCCGATAAATCCATCGTAAGTTGAAAATATTTTAAGTAGAAAATGCATTTAATACACCTAACCTACCAAGCATCATAGCCTAGCCTAACCTACCTTAAATGTGCTCAGAACATTTCCATTAGCCTACAGTTGGGCAATATCATGTAACACGAAGCCTGTTGTAATAAAGTATTGAATATCTCATGTAATCGATTGAATACGGAACTGAAAGTGAAAAACAGACTGGTTGTGTGAGTACAGAAGAGTTGTAAGCATATCAGTTATTTACCCTCGTGATCACGTGGCCAACAGAGCTGTGGCCCGCTGCACTGCCCAGCATCACAAGAGAGTTTCTATCGCATATCGCTAGCCCGGGAAAAGATCAAAATTCAAAGTATGGTTTCTACTGAACACTTATCGCTTTTGCACCATCATAAAGTTGAAAAACCCTAAGTCAAACCATTGTAACTTGGGGACCATCTGTATATCTGAGGGCAAAAGGATTATAGAAAGGTTGAGGTTAGCATTTAGATACCTAGTAGACAGGGTGTGATATGCAAAATGCTGTAAAGTTCTGGCTTTCTGTCTCCAAATCCCAATCCCACCTCTCTGCCACCGTGCCTTTTGTTCCCATCAATGGTATCACTGCTTTGGGTTAAGTTATTGACTCTTTCAAACTCCCTGTTATATGCAAATATGTTATGGTGGCTGGAGAACTAATTACCCACATTATCATCCATCTGCACAAGTTCATTGACAACTTTCCATAGGGAGCCAGGAAAAGTCTAGGTCATGAGACCAAAGTGATGTATAAAAAGCAGAAGGAAGGATGGGAGTGGAAGACGGGGTCCCTCTAAAAGTAAGAAGAGATTAGTTATGCAGATTGGGAGAGGCCAAAGTAGCAGAAAAGAAAAAAAAGACAATTCTAAAGGAAAGATGATGTATGAGTATCTACTGTATTCCTTGCATTTTCATACATATTCTGTTTCATCCTCATAACAACTTTATGAGATAGGAATCATTATTATCATCCTCCCCATTTGGCAGACGGGAAAACTTACCCAAATTAACACAGCTAATAAGGGTAGAGCCAAAAGTTGAACCCAAGTAATCTTGCTCTTACCTTCTATGATTTACCACCTTCAACTTAGACATGTAACAGATGCTCATATTAATAGTTCAGCTAATGATAAGCAAAATAGGTGAAGCATTGACATTCTTAGAAGATTCTTGAGAGCATTAAAGGTCTCAAGAACTTTGTTCGGAAGACTTTGGAAGATGAAGAGAGGGTTTCCTCTGATTCCCCTCAAGGTAAGAGTTTGTTCATTTATGGATACCATAAGGCAGAAATAAGCATTTTACATAAGCTACAACAGTCTTCCATTTATGAATAGGATGGGTCTGACTTATTACGGATTAACAGTCTCCAGACAAATATGCCCTCTCCCTTGGGTGTTTTATGCTCACTCTCACGTGACTTCGTAACCTGTTCTTATTGACTCTTGCCAATGGAGACCATTTGTGGTGGGGGAAATCCCAAAGGAATTAATCATCCAGAGAGCATTCTATTGGGTATTGCAATAGTTTAGATGGATTGTTGGCTACAGATCCACCTTCCACCACCATGGCAATTAATGAGCCACCCAGACAGTGTTTACTATATATAACAGGTAGGTGGGAAGAGGAGAAATCAGTCAGGGTTCTGCAGAGAAACAGAACCTCTGTGTGTGTGTGTGTGTGTGTGTGTGTGTGTGTGTGTGTATGCATATATGCATGTACATATGCATGCATATGTGTGTATATACATATATGTATATATTATATATGTATATTGTACATATACATATTATATGTGCATATGTATTATAATATGTATAATACATATTATACATATATATAATGTATATTATATATACATATAATATATATACAGTTGGCCCTTGAACAACATGGATTTGAACAGCATGGGTCCATGTGTGGATTTTTTTCAATAAACATGTATTACAGTACTACATGATTCTCAGTCTGTTGAATCCGTGGATGTGGAACTGTGGATATGGAGGGCCAACTGTAAAGTTATAAGCAAATTTTCAGCTGTGCTTGGGGGGAACCCTAACCCCCACGTTGTTCAAGGGTTAACTGTATATAGAGAGGGAGAAAGAAAGAGATTTCAAGGAATCGCTTATGTGATTGTGGGGATTGGCAACTCCAAACACTGCAGGGTAAGCTAGCAGACCGGAATCTCTCGGCAACGAGTAGATGCTCCGTCAAAACTTCAGTTTTGCTCTTTCAACTAACTGAATGAGGCCCTCCCACATTATCAAGGGTAATCCCCTTTACTTAAACTCAGCTAACTGTAGATATTAACCACATCTACAAAATACCTCCCCAGCAACACCTAGATTAGTGTGCGATTAAATAACTGGGTACTGTAGCCCAACAAAGTTGACACGTAAAACGAACCCAACACAGGACGCTTAGGGGAAGTTCCCAGGAGAACTTAAAACTCAGTATCTGCTTATGGAGATAATCAAAAACTGGCCTAGAGTTCATTTGAACTACAAGAGAAGACATCTGTAAATTTAATAGGGCAATGGATCTGATTTGAGAAGAAAGTTAACATTTGTTGAGTCCCTACTATATGCTTGGTTCTTAAGTCTTTATCTTATTTACTCACTTATGGTAGTAGCTGAGTGATAGACCATATTAGCCCCATTTTACTAATGAGGAAACTGAAGTTCACGAAGGTTAAATAATTAGCCCAAAGACACAAAGTTAACATGGCAAAGCTTGAATTTTGAGATTTGAACCCAGGTGTGTATGAAGCCAAAATCACATTCTTTCTACAAAACAAGAAGCCTGGCCTGTCTGCTTAATCTTTCTAGAAGTAGAGAACAATTCCCAGGTACATATGTTCTTGTTGGGGTAGTTTATTTTGTTTTCGTGTTTGCATTTGTTTTTGTTTTCAAATAAATAAGCAGTTCAGTTTTAAGGACTCAAGAGCTGAGGTTTGGGTGAAGCAAATAAACTTGCCCAAGGACACAGTTGAATCAGTGTAGAATGTGAACCAGAGAAAAGGTCTCTTGACAAGCAATGTAGGAGTTTCCCCCACTACGCTTGCCTTAAACTCCTCCTGTATTATCATGAATTCAGCCTCTCTGTCTTAAACCATAAGCTGTTTGGGGTTTTCTTTTTTTACTTCAAACCTGAATTATTTTCTAAAGCTAATGCAGTTCTTCAAATCCTCTTTTTGGAAACTGCCTTAATATTACAGCTACTTGACTGAAAAAGCAACAATAAAAAATACAGTATTAGCTATCCTTTGTTACTGTCCACTTATCTTTACATGAAAGATTTCTGCAACAGGACACAATTGGTAATACTATAATAAATATAATAAATGTCATATGAAGGGAGTGGTGAGATATCCATAATTAAGTCTGATTCACTATCAGAGCATTTTACCATTGAAAAGTGTTTTAAGAAAGTTCTTTTTTTTTTTTTTTAACACAGAATTGCTTACATCTCTCTCCTGTGGATTTAAGTTGCTTTGAATACTAAGGAGCATCCATTGCTCCTTATATAATGATAATTTATCATTATCTTGTATACATAGTATTTTATGCTTTTTGAATGCTTTCAAGTACATTATCTCAAAGACATCATTGTACTTAAAAGAGCAGGAAGGTAGAGCCATCTAGTGCAGAATGAACTGAAATCTGAGTCTATTATGCTCCAGCTGAAGAGTCATTTCAGAGACCACATCAAGAGACAGACTTACAGAAGAGGTAGTCTTGTTTAGTCAGAGATATGGAAGGAGTTGCCAGTGGAGATGGACAGGGTCCATTACAGACTTCCTTACAACAGGAAACGAAGAGGCATTCTAGAGCGAACCAGAAATCCTAAATCTAGAGTTCAAGTAGAATCAGGCGCCAAAGGGAGCAGCCAGATATGGAGGGTTCAAGCGTGGTATTGTTCAAGAAAATTTCACTGAACAAATTTCCTCAGCTGGTATCTCTCTCCAAATGCCATCTCCAACCTTTGATCAGGTTTCTGACACTATGGTTGTGACTGTGAACAAGGTATTTAACCTTGTTTCGGCTCCTTACTTTTATTGAGATACATTATAGGAATTTTTTTTAAGATGAATAATGCAGCATATTACAGATGTTGCTTAATGTTCAATGGCCATCTTTCAGTTCTCTCTAGCACAGGGAGGAGCAGTGATGTCAGATTTGGCTTTGCAGAAATACACGCAGTGATTTTGTTTAAGATAGCATTAAAATTGATTTATAAATCCTAGGTGAATATCAACTGGTGATGTGGAATTTTTTCTCACCAAGTCTACTGGATAGTGAAAAGAACGCTCCATGGAATGAATATTTAGTTAGATGGAATAGAAGGAATAAAATAGAGAATACAAATGGATATAGTTGCATCCCAAAAGAAGGAAAGAGCACTGAAATTACCTGTTTTTTAAACTTTAATTTTATTTTAGTTGTTCATTTGGTTGAAACTATCTTCTGTTTTTCCTTCTCAGCTTTGACCTCGTAGCTGTTGGTGGTATCTCTGTCGTCTTAATCTTTGATCGGTCACCTTTCCTACCTGAGAAGAGGACGCTCTGGTTGCCTTGGAATCAGTTTATTGTGGTGGAGAAAGTGACCATGCAGAGAGTTGTATCAGACCCACCATCCTGCGATATCTCCAACTTTATCAGCCCAAACCCTATTGTGCTTCCTTCACCACTCACATCATTTGGAGGGTCCTGTCCAGAGAGGGGAACTATTGTTCCTGAGCTGCAGGTGGGTACATTGACCTTGAAAGTATAAAATCATAGTATCCATGGCGTGCTCAACAGTGTATAATGGCTAGGTTCCTTTTCCTGGTACTCCTGCCAGCCCTAAAATGTGCTGCCCTTCATTTTCCAAGAGAAGCCTTCAAATGTAATCTCTCTGGCACACATTTGCAAGGTGATTGGCCGGGGTTATAAGGTGCTATCTCTGGCCATGGAGCAAAGCAAGATGAACTAGCTGTCATGAGGATTAGACCCCAAACCTTCACCTGATGAACACTGTGTTCAAAAGAACAAAGCTTGCTGGCTCAATAGTGATAACAGTATAATCAATGAGGTGGGACCATTTGTGGTTCTGAAATTAAAGCTCCTTAAGAAATCTAGTTTTCTTCCACTGTCAAATTTGCGTCCGCTGTCATTGTTCTTAGAAGTCATGACAACTCCTCTTGTTTAGCTGTGTTTAGTAAAGGTAGCTGTCAAGCCTATGCATTTTCTCTGAAACTGCTTTCTAAGCGTTCAAGCTTTATAGTCAGAGGAAGACATTTTTGAAACTTCATATAGTAGGATTCCTGAGCGTTTTTCTTTTTTTTTTTTTTAAGTGAATATAACTATTTAATATATTTTTTAACATCTTTATTGGGGTATAATTGCTTTACAATGGTGTGTAACTTTCTGCTTTATAACAAAGTGAATCAGTTATACATATACATATGTTCCCATATCTCTTCCCTCTTGCGTCTCCCTCCCTCTCACCTTCCCTATCCCACCCCTCTAGGTGGTCACAAAGCACCGAGCTGATCTCCCTGTGCTATGCGGCTGCTTCCCACTAGCTATCTATTTTACATTTCGTAGTGTATATATGTCCATGCCACTCTCTCACTTTGTTCCAGCTTACACTTCCCCCTCCCCGAATCCTCAAGGCCATTCTCTAACAGGTCTCGGTCTTTACTCCTGTCTTGCCCCTAGGTTCTTCATGACCATTTTTTTTTTTTTTAGATTCCATATATGTGTGTTAGCATATGGTATTTGTTTTTCTCTTTCTGACGTACTTTACTCTGTATGACAGTCTCTAGGTCCATCCACCTCACTACAAATAACTCAAATTCGTTTTTTTTATGGCTGAGTAATATTCCATTGTATATATGTGCCACATCTTCTTTCTCCATTCATCTGTTGATGGACACTTAGGTTGCTTCCATGTCCTGGCTATTGTAAATAGAGCTGCAATGAACATTTTGGTACATGAATCATTATGAATTATGGTTTTCTTGGAGTATATGCCCAGTAGTGGGATTGCTGAGTCATATGCTGGTTCTATTTTTAGTTTTTTAAGGACCCTCCATACTGTTCTCCATACTGGCTGTATCAATTTACATTCCCACCAACAGTGCAAGAGGGTTCCCTTTTCTCCACAACCTCTCCAGTATTTATTGTTTGTAGATTTTTTGATGATGGCCATTTTGACTGCTGTGAGATGATATCTTGTTGTAGATTTGATTTGCTTTTCTCTAATGATTAATGATGTTGAGCATTCTTTCATGTGTTTGTTGGCAATCTGTATATCTTCTTTGGAGGAATGTCTGTTTAGGTCTTCTGCCCATTTTTGGATGGGGTTGTTTTTTTATTTTTGATATTGAGCTCCATGAGCTGCTGGCAAATTTTGGAGATTAATCCTTTGTTAGTTGCTTCATTGGCAAGTATTTCCTCCCAATCTGAGGGTTGTCCTTTCGTCTTGTTTATGGTATCCTTTGCTGTGCAAAAGCTTTTAAGTTGCATTAGGTCCCATTTGTTTATTTTTGTTTTTATTTCCATTTCTCTAGGAGGTGGGTCAAAAAGGATCTTGCTGTGATTTATCTGATAGAGTGTTCTGCCTATGTTTTCCTCTAAGAGTTTGATAGTGTCTGGCCTTACACTTAGGTCTTTAATCTATTTTGAGTTTATTTTTGTGCATGGTGTTGGGGAGTGTTCTAATTTCATTCTTCTACATGTAGCTGTCCAGTTTTCCCAGCATCGCTTATTGAAGAGGCTGCCTTTTCTCCACTGTATATTCTTGCCTCCTTTATCAAAGATAAGGGGACTATATGTGCGTGGGTTTATCTCTGGGCTTTCTATCCTGTTCCATAGATCTATATTTCTGTTTTTGTGCCAGTACCATACTGTCTTAATTACTGTTGCTTTGTAGTATAGTGTGAAGTCAGGGAGCCTGATTCCTCCAGCTCCATTTTTCGTTCCCAAGATTGCTTTGGCAATTCGGGGTCTTTTGTGTTTCCATACGAATTGTGAAATATTTTGTTTCAGTTCTGTGAAAAAACGCCAGTGGTAGTGGGATAGGGATTGCATTGAATCTGTAGATTGCTTTCAGTAGTGTAGTCATTTTCACAATGTTAATTCTTCCAATCCAGGAACATGCTATATCTCCCCGTCTATTGCTATCATCTTTAATTTCTGTCATCAGTATCTTATAATTTTCTGCATACAGGTCTTTTGTCTCCTTAGGTAGGTTTATTCCTAGATATTTTATTCTTTTGTTGTAATGGTAAATGGGAGTGTTTTCTTAATTTCACTTTCAGATTGCTCATCATTAGTGTATAGGAATGCCAGAGATTTCTGTGCATTAATTTTGTATCCTGCTACTTTACCAAATTCATTGATTAGCTCTAGCAGTTTTCTGGTAGCATCTTTAGGATTCTCTATGTATAGTATCATGTCATCTGCAAACAGTGACAGCTTTCCTTCTTCTTTTCCGATTTGGATTCTTTTTATTTCTTTTTCTTCTCTGATTGCTGTGGCTAAAACTTCCAAGACTATGTTGAACAATAGTGGTGAGAGTGGGCAACCTTGTCTTGTTCCTGATCTTAGTGGAAATGGTTTCTGTTTTTCACGATTGAGGACAATGTAGGCTGTGGGTTTGTCATATATGACCTTTATCATGTTGAGGAAAGTTCCCTCTATGCCTACTTTCTGGAGGGGTTTTATCATAAATGGGTGTGGAATTTTGTCAAAAGCTTTCTCTGCATCTATTGAGATGATCATATGGTTTTTCTCCTTCAATTTGTTAATATGGTGTATCACGTTGATTGATTTGCGTATATTGAGGAATCCTTGCATTCCTGGGATAAACCCCACTTGATCATGGTACATGATCCTTTTAATGTGCTGTTGGATTCTGTTTGCTAGTATTTTGTTGAGGATTTTTGCATCTATGTTCATCAGTGATATTGGCCCGTAGTTTTCTTTCCTTGTGACATCTTTGTCTGGTTTTGGTATCAGGGTGGTGGTGGCCTCGTAGAATGAGTCTGGGAGTGTTCCTCCCCCTGCTATATTTTGGAAGAGTTTGAGAAGGATAGGTGTTAGCTCTTCCCTAAATGTTTGATAGAATTCGCCTGTGAAGCCATCTGGTCCTGGGCTTTTGTTTGTTGGAAGATTTTTAATCACAGTTTCAATTTCAGTGCTTGTGATTTGTCTGTTCATATTTTCTATTTCTTCCTGATTCAGTCTTGGTAGGTTGTGCATTTCTAAGAATTTGTCCATTTCTTCCAGGTTGTCCATTGTATTGGCATGTGGTTGCCTGTAGTAATCTCTCATGATCCTGTGTATCTCTGCAGTGTCAGCTGTTCCTTCTCCTTTTTCATTTCTGATTCTATTGATTAGAGTCTTCTCCCTTATTCTCTTGATGAGTCTGGCTGATGGTTTATCAATTTTGTTTATCTTCTCAAAGAACCAGCTTTTAGTTTTATTGATCTTTGCTATCTTTTCCTTCATTCCTTTTTCATTTATTTCTGATCTTTATGATTTCTTTCCTTCTGCTAACTTTGGGCTTTTTTTGTTCTTATTTCTCTAACTGCTTTAGGTGTAAGATTAGGTTGTTTATTTGAGATGTTTCTTGTTTCTTAAGGTACGATTGTATTGCTGTAAACTTCTCTCTTAGAACTGCTTTTGCTGCATCCCATAGGTTTGGGGTCATCGTGTTTTCATTGTCATTTGTTTCTAGGTATATTTTGATTTCCTCTTTGATTTCTTCAGTGATCTCTTGGTTATTAAGTAGTGTATTGTTTAGCCTCCATGTGTTTGTATTTTTCACAGATTTTTTTCCTGTAATTGGTCAGAAAAGGTACTTGATACGATTTCAGTTTTCTTAAATTTACAGAGGCTTGATTTGTGACCCAAGATGTGATGTATCCTGGAGAATGTTCCATGAGCACTTGAGAAGAAAGTGTATTCTGTTGTTTTCAGATGCAATGTCCTATAAATTAAGTCCATCTTGTTTAATGTATCATTTGAAGCTTGTGTTTCCTTATTTATTTTCATTTTGGATGATCTGTCCATTGGTGAAAGTGAGGTGTTAAAGTCCCCTACTATGTTTGTGTTACTGTCGATTTCCCATTTTATGGCTGTTAGTATTTGCCTTATGTATTGAGACGCTCCTATGTTGAGTGCATAAATATTTACAGTTGTTATATCTTGTTCTTGGATTGATCCCTTGATCATTATGTAGTGTCCTTCTTTGTCTCTTGTAATCTTTATTTTAAAGTCTGTTTTGTCTGATATGAGAATTGCTACTCCAGCTTTCTTTTGATTTCCATTTGCATGGAAGATCTTTTCCCATGCCCTTACTTTCAGTCTGTATGTGTCCCTAGGTCTGAAGTGGGGCTCTTGTAGACAGCATATATACAGGTCTTGTTTTTGTATCCATTCAGCCAGTCCATGTGTTTTGGTTGGAGCATTTAATCCATTTACATTTAAAGTAATTATCGATATGCATGTTCCTATTACCATTTTCTTAATTGTTTTGGGTTTGATATTATAGGTCTTTTCATTCTCTTGTGTTTCCTGCCTTGAGAAGTTCCTTTAGCATTTGTTGTAAAGCTGGTTTGGTGGCGCTGAATTCTCTTAGCTTTTGCTGTCTGTAAAGATTTTAATTTCTCCATCAAATCTTAATGAGATCCTTGCTGGGTAGAGTAATCTTGGTTGTAGGTTTTTCTCCTTCATCACTTTAAATATGTCCTTCCA